TTGCCCATCCAATCAATGTGGGACTATATAACACAACACGCCCCCTCACGCAAGAGCCCTTTAGGCTAGAAGCGTGGAATTGCACAGGCCCATTTTTGGTTTACCTTTTTGTGCTTTTTTTTTTAATTCCACTTTTTAAAGCGGGGGACGGTGAGACTCTGATACCATGTAAAAAACCTTGAGGTCACCACCCCAAAAGCTAGCTCTAAGGGTGGGAGTGCCCAAGGCCTTATAAAGGCCATATTAGTTGCCCATCTAATCAATGTGAGACTATATATCTCAACATTATTAATTATGTAAAAGATTCATTAAAAGAATAATAATCTTAGTTAAAGTGAAACCAAATTCTTTTAAGTATTACTATACCGAAACAAAATATTTTTTGAGTATTATTAGCTTGATTTCGAGATGAAAACTCACCAAAGTGGTTTTTTTGTTAAACTTTAACTCTCCTTATACCATGTCTTAAACATCCTTTATTTTTTATTTTACCTTTTCTTTTGGAAAAAAGCCTAATGAAAATAAAGAGAGAGAAAATTAAACAGGGAAATTTTCAATCAATCTAAAAGCTATCAGTGATATCTCAAGTAAATTTACTATAATGGATGATATATTAAGCTTCAATTTACTATAACAATACATTCAAATTAAACTATACTTGATATCTCAAGTAAATATTTTCGTGTCTCTTTTCTCATTATCCAATCTTCTTCCATATTTGTAAGATGTCCAATATAAATAACTAACAAAAAAGTGTAACTAAAAGCTATCAGTGCGTTGTGTGCTTTGCACGTGAATACTACAAAAGTTTCCTTCCAGAGTATTCTACAATAATAGACTTAATTAGGCAATCACAAATAAAACTAGGAATGAGAGATAATGGATGCCGCTATCGATGGTAGCTAGGAGTAGCGATGGAGAATTAAACGTAACCGTTTCAAAGCACGAGAACACATTGCAGCCAACCAAGTCAATGGGTAGGACATTCTTGTGGCTTGTATCTGTCAGTTGACGGCTCCAGATTATGATGGATGGTGTTAGATCTTGTCCGCACCAATGAAAAAATAAAAATAAAAATGACCACACACCACAATGGCACTGCATCAACTCATTTATGGTGCTTCATAGACCCTACCATATTTCTAAACATTTTACTGTGCTCTCGCGTGCGCGGGTTTACTGTTTCAACTAAGAAATCTTCCTAAGAAGTATTCATTCAAACTTTGATCCTTTTCATAAAAATATAACTCTGCTTAACTTCATGTTTAATGCTTGTTAAGGCATTAGTCAATATCTTGTACGAAAAAAATTTGAGGAGTTTTTTTTTGTGTGGAAGTATCACTTTCAAGCGCACACATATATATATGTATAGGGGTAAATTTAAGACGATACTGTCTGATGTGATTTAAAAGTAGTAGGGTTTTGGTTCAGGTGTGACCCGTGAGGTAGAGGACGTTATATGTCTCGTATTTGAAGGACATGAATATTTTTCCACCCAGCCTTTGTAACCCACCGAGTGGAGCACAAAGGACCTTCAGTCACAGACCACCCATTTTCACTGCAGCCTCTGCCCCTCGTGTTTTTTTGGTACCTTCCATTGATCTCTCACACACATACAACAACTTTCTCAGTGCCAACTTCCACTCAGTTCCTTTTTTTTTTTTTTGTGCTTTCCACCAGGGGTCAATTTGGATTGGGGTGTGACATTGTCATGGTACGTGTGAAATTGTAAGTTGGCCTAGCTAAATTTATAACATTGTTAACAGACGAAGATTTGAGCTGTTTTGTGTGTGTAACCAGATAATATATTACTTTCTTTTTAAATTCTTATTCTTTTTTCATCTATTTCTAATTAGGATTTTCTTCTAATCTTTTTTTTTTTCTTATTCGTACTCATCACCCGGAACTCAGTCATTCTGCGACAATGTACGATGTTTCGTTCCTTTCTCAAGATTTTACGGATACATGTTATTAGAATATGCATTAGTAATTACATTATCCGATAGGGAAAAATTGATTTACATTTTTGAACATTGTAAAAGAGAAATTTTTTGTCTTTGCTGACCATAATTGTTTATTGGGTGTTTCAAACATGAGTGAAATTCATGCCTTTTTTTTTTATTCACAACTTTTTTGTGTGGTTGTTTTATTGATTTTATTTCTTTTGAAAAATGGAGTGTTGTTTTACATTTACTTTTTTTTTATAAAAAGAATAGTTTAATGTAGAGCTACAATTGCTATTGGTAATGAAATTAAATTGTTTCTTGGTGTTATTTGTATTTGATTTCACAACAGGAATAAAAATTTTGGCGATTAATCAGTGAAAACTGTTAAAGAGAAAATTCAATGAAGATATATGTATATATATGGAGTATGAAAATTTCTTGTACATACCCATTAATAAATTCTTTGTTTTTTTTTGTATTTTTATTTTTTTTTAAATATTAAAACATTGATTAAATGATTTATGTGGATCCAATGTCATTTAAATGATTTTAGACATTTATGGTTGATTGTTCCATGTTTCTTTTTAATTGTAAAGTTTGCTCTGTCCCTCTATGTTCATGTTTTTCACAGGTTACGACTAGAGGTGTAAATGGGGCAGGTTAGGCCTGCAGGCTTTGGCTTTAGTAGCCTAAGCTTATCTAAAATATTTAGAGCCTATATTGACCTATTAGCCTACTAAAGACTTGATTTATTGGTTTGACCTGACCTATTATAAAAAACTAAAAAACCTAATGTGGGCCCACCAAGTTGCAAACTAAAGGGGTGTACTGAATTAGGATTTCAGAGGATTTTAATGGATGATTTTTGGACAAAAAAAACTATTAGTATTCAATTAGAATTATAAAGGATTGAAAAAAAGTCATGTGGTATTCGATTAGGATTTTAAAATATTAATTTAGACTCCGTCCAAATTCGTTGGAATTCAATCGGAATTTTAAACAAAAGAAAAACAATATTGCGGTATTAAAAAATCTGACGATTTTAATGGATTTTTCATTGGTGTGGATTTCGTGAGACTTTTTAGCGAAAAATATAAATAAGATGTCTCTCTCACAATCTCACCCTAACCCCTAGGATTTCTTGAGATTTCTCTATTGCAGTGTGTCACAATCTACCCTAGCATCTTCTCAAAGCCAAGGTATGTTATTTTTTGACTCTCATATATTTTCTCAGGTTTGGTTATTCCTTCTTCATGTTTAATAATTGTGTTTGTCGTATGTATTTACCAGGTTTTGGTATTCATCCTTCGTGATTAATGATGTGCTCATTATTATTTTTAACAGAGTTGTATAGAGTTGACGATAAACATGTATCTAATCTCTAAAATTGAACTAATAAGCTTACCACGTACATTCTTTGTTGATCTTCTTCTTTTGTATATTGTTTTTATTATAATGAATTAATGAGCATAAAATCCTAATATTCTTCGTGTTTGGCAATGATACATATTAAAAATCTTAATAATCTGGTGGCAAGCTCTATTAAAAATCCAAATATTCTTCGTGTTCAATCTTTGTCATGCATCATTGAGAAATGTAACTGAGAGGATATTTAGCATATTTAAATCACGGTTCACAATTTTCAAGTCAGCACCTCCATTTTCATTTAAAACACAAGCCGAGCTTATGCTAGCATGTGTAGCACTACATAACTTTCTTCGAAAAGAATGTCGTTCAGATAAATTTTCAATTGAATCAGTAGATGCATCTTCATCTTCAGTATCACCAGTTTAACGAAGAAGATTTTTTTAACTCATTGGTCAAACCCAAGAGCAGGAATAAGAAGATGCTAATGTGTGGAGGACTAATATAGCTTTAGATATGTGAAGAAGCTTAGTAATTTGAATGTTTGTTAAAAATTACATTAAGTTTTACTGATTAAAAAAATTATATTATGTTTTACTTTTTTATTAATATCATTGCATTTCTTTATTATTATTTTTATTGACTCTGGTAATTTTAAATGTTTGTTAAAAATTCATATGATTTTTTAAAATCGTATAAATTCATATTGTGCTTTCAAATCTTATAAATTCTATTAAAATTTATAAGATTTTTTATCTCAAAAAAAGTATTTAAAATCATAATTTAATACTCCCTCTAAAGTTTATAGGCGCAAATCAAATTGAAATGTAAAAGATAAAAAAAATTATTCACAAAGATCACATGAAATAAATTTTTATTAACATCACATACATGAAATAATGTTCATAAAGATCACATGAAAATGTTCATAAAAATTACATTAAAATTTCATATATGTATATATTCATATAATTTGCACTTTCTTTACTAATTAAATTTTATATTATATGGATACCAAAAAAAAATAATTTATATTATATTTAAAATTTTAAATAAATATTTATTATTTGTTAAAATAACATTAATCCTATTACTTTGAAAATTAATGTTACGAATTATGATCTCAGAATACCTTTTTAAATGAATAATATATATCATAAATATATTATATTATTAAAAAAATAAAAGGTATGTGTAATTATGATAAATATTTTGACATGTCAAATTTTTTAGCCCCCACTAAAATTAAATTCAGGCTCTGGCAGTGAGTACACGCCTATCATTTCAATTTTTGTCTATGATATTTTCCTTTTAAGTTTAAATGAAGATTAATTAATGACTTAATAACTTATAATTTGGCTAAATCAAAACTTAAATTAGATTCTGCACTTTTTCTCTACATCGCTTTATTACAATTCAATTATGGCCATAAAAAATAGTGGCTGTAATTCCTTTGTCTTCCAATCCAATTCAAATGGTAAACCAAAAATGATGCCTGATTCATTGCGTGACATCAACAGTACCAATTCGACATGACAAGTTTGAAAGCTTCATTGTTTCTAAATTTCTAAACGTGACAAAAAACGTGGGGGGAAATTAGCAGAAGGAATGACCAGAAAGAAAAAAAAAATCACAATCACATTCCATAGTTGCCAATAGGTATTGAAGCACCAAATTTTCAGCAAAGTAATGGCCGTAGCTCCGGCAATTCTCCAACCAACTCTCTTCTTCTTTTTCTTGTTCTTGTTGTTCATCACTTTCCCTTTGATATATTCCATGTCAGAAGCTGAAGCTTTGCTGAGTCTCAAAAACTCATTCTCGAATGCTGAAGCTCTTAATAGTTGGGTGGCTTTTTCTGTACCCTGTTCATCATGGGAAGGTGTTGTTTGCTACAATGGCTTTGTCACGGGGCTTCGCCTTGGAGGAATGGGGTTATCAGGGATAATAAATGTTGACGCGTTACTTGAACTCAAGGGTCTTCGAACTATCAGCATTGTGAACAATTCTTTCTCAGGTTCCATCCCAGAACTCAATCGAATAGGTTTCTTGAAAGCCATGTATTTTTCAGGGAATAAGTTTTCAGGGGATATTCCTCAGGATTACTTCCAGAGAATGAGGTCTTTGAAGAAATTGTGGCTATCTGATAATGAATTCACGGGCAATATTCCATCATCATTGGGTGAGATTCCTCATCTTATTGAGTTACATCTCGAAAACAACCAGTTTAGTGGAAGTATTCCAAATCTGGAGAACCCATCGTTGGTGGAAATCAATGTTTCCAACAACAAATTGGAAGGTGAAGTTCCACCTAGTTTGTTGAAATTTCATGAGAGCTCTTTTTCAGGGAATTCTGGTCTTTGTGGTGACAAGTTTGGTAAAACATGTGAAAAGGCAACAGAGGACACAAATCCTGTTAATGCACAAAATAATGCAGAGCATAACAACAACATTGGTAATGTGTCTGGTGGGACAAATGGAAGCAAGGGTAGGAATAGCACACTGCAAATTGTTGGCATTATAGCAGCAAGTGTAGTGCTTATCTCACTTATTGTATTTTTTATTGTGAGATCAAGGAGAAAGAAGGATAAGAATTTTGATATGATTGGACAACAAATTAACGATGGTTCAGTTGAAGTTCAAGTAACTGCACCTGTGAAAAGAGAAGTGGATTCAATGAAAAAAACATCAAGTAGGAGGGGATCTTCCCATGGAAAGGGAACGGGAGAACTTGTGATAGTGAATGATGAGAAGGGTATTTTTGGGTTACCAGATTTGATGAAGGCAGCCGCGGAAGTGCTAGGAAATGGAGGATTCGGATCATCTTACAAAGCTGTGATGGTTAATGGAGTGGCAGTGGTGGTGAAAAGGTCGAGAGAGATGAATGCATTGGAAAAAGATGGTTTTGATGCAGAGATGAGGAAGCTTGGAAATCTAAAACACTGGAATATCTTGACCCCTTTGGCCTATCATTTCAGAAAGGATGAGAAACTAGTTATCTCTGAGTATGTTCCCAGAGGAAGTCTACTTTTTTTCCTTCATGGTAATTAAGACTTGTTTTTGTTAACTTTTTTTCACTCAAAATTTTCATAGCACAGCATCGAAAGGAAAGGGAAATATTCTTCAAACAACTTATATAAAAATGATACTTAAAACCAGTATAGAACTAACTAGCAATTTTTATGATAAAAGATGGAGTTAGTTAACTGCATTGGCAACAAAGAAAAAACTAAAAATGCTGTACTACTCGCAGGTGATAGGGGATCACATGCTGAACTTGATTGGCCTGCTCGTTTAAAAATTGTAAGAGGGATTGCTGAAGGGATGACTTATCTTCACACAGAACTTGCTTCCTCAAATCTACCCCATGGAAATCTCAAGTCTAGCAACGTTCTTCTTGGACCAGATTATGAACCAATGCTTGTAGATTACGGGTTTATCCATCTGGTTAACCCTTCCAGTGCTAGACAAGCACTATTTGCTTATAAGGCTCCAGAAGCAGCGCAACAAGGCCAAGTTTCGCCTATTTGTGATGTTTACTGTCTTGGGGTTGTGATACTTGAGATACTCACTGGAAAATTTCCTTCTCAATATCTTAGCAATGGAAAGGGTGGAACTGATGTAGTGGAATGGGTTAAATCAGCAATTACTGAGGGAAGGGAATCCGAACTACTCGATCCTGCAATTACAAGCTCTAGGAATTCACTAGGTGAAATGGCTCGACTCCTCCATATAGGTGCTGCTTGCACTGAGAGTAACCCTCAACAACGATTAGACATGGTGGAAGCCATTAGAAGGATAGAGGAGATAAAAACCGAGGGTAGCAGAGAATCAAGAACAATAGAGGTCTTACCATCTCTCAGAGATGGTTATGCAGACTCTCATGTATTTGATACCCAAGGCCAAGGGCACGTCGAACAATCACGTAGGAGACATGGATCAGACAGTGGAAGCCAGGAATATTTTGAATTTGGCATCTCCTAATTAACAGTTAGGTAACAATTTAGACAAATTCTCTGTCTTCGTGTAAAAAGGATGTTATCATGTGTATCTTTTGGAATTCACAGGCAATGTGGATCAGGGACGTGTGTAATTTGGCACATACCTTCTCTTTGAAGTTTGCACTTATAGATCAGGGACATGTATAAATTTCATGACATATAAGTTTACTGTAATCTAAATTATAGGAGATAGCTCTGTAGATGTTTCAGAACTACTTTTTCAGTTTTGTTTTACCCGGAAGTGGTAGATGTTACCAGCAAGGTCCAAGGTGTACGTGTATTTGTCATCATGAAATGCATCAATCAACAATGCGAGTAGTGTTGTCAATCTCATCTTGGTATGTGATACGGTTTTTGGTTCTAAATCTCAAAAAATAATAATTTAGTAACATGGTTCTAAATCTCAATTTTATTAATGTTAAATGAGTCTTTACGTTTGACTTCAAGTAAAGGAGTATCAGTTATGGGAGCACTAAAAAATATGCTTGTCCCTCATCTCTTATCTATACGGGCAGGAAATGGATAGTGTGGATAAAAAATATGATATATTCACGTGAAAATATCACAATCATACAAAAGTAATTCAATGGTTATGGTTTTGTAACTACTTATGTTAACATTTTTTTTTTCTCTACTCTTTTATTACCATTGATCCACCTTTATATGTTTATAATTTTTCACATAACATAATCATATGAATTTTCACATTAGATGATTCAGATCCATACGGGAGAAGCCGTAATATTATTACTTAGAAAAATCTGTCGAAATAAGTATTTTGTTTTTCTTCATTTGTTTTTTGCAATGTTCAAAATATTATTGCTCCTTCCAATTCCAACGATCTTTCTCAGCCTAACCATAGTATCAATTAGCGGAGAGTGAGAATGTACCAACGCCTTCGTCGGAGTGTGAGAGTGAGAAATGAGAGTGAAATTTGTTCGAAAAATGAAAGTGGGGAGTGAGACTGAGAGCGAGAGAGAGGAGGGAAACTAATTCCGGGATTGCAATGGGCTCTGATTTTGGAGAAAAAGATTTTGGGAAAAAAATAGTTAAATCTAAATGCTCACTGACGGAAAGCATCCCGTCGAAACACGTCGTGAGGTTTTTGACTGAATTTCAGACGGATATATTTAGACGAAACAAAATACTTTATTGAGAAACTAATAAAAAGTGTGTGTCATTTTAAAAGATATAAAGTTGTGTTATTTTAAAAGAGAAAAAAAATAGATAAAAAAAGAAAAAGTTGACAAAAAAAAAATAAAAGTATGAATTTCACCTCTTTATGAAAGTGATGAGAGTGAAAGAATATAAGTTGTGTCATTTAGAAAAAATAAAAATTTTTCCTTAAATAAAACCGTTCATTCTGTTTACAGCAACACTTTTCAACAATATTGACGGATCGCATTCCGTCCAAAATGTCCGTACTAAAGTATTTACTTAAAATGTGTCTTTTTCTTTTTTTTAGTTAATATTTTTCCTCATCAACGGAAAAGTTCGTTTGAAAAATAAGTATTCACCAACAGTTCCAATCAAACTAGTTTAAAACATGTAACCAAAAAAAAAAAAAACTAGTTTAAAACAAAATTTTAAGTAAAAACAAAAGGGGGTTTGGATTATTGATAAAAATATTTTGATGAAAAAAAAATCTTAAAAACGTATTAATAAATTGAGATTTTAGTTACGACTGTCCCAATTCAATCATAGAACATTTAACGGACCTGACAGACTACGATCCATCTCTTTTTAACATAACGGCGTGTTTAATTATAGCTATAATATTAATGGAATTACCGACGAAAATATCTACCATAGAATATTTCATCAATAAAGTGGTCGTACATCTTTTAAGACATGTTTGGTGTGATGTATAACTAATTTTTTTTTCTCAATGGGCGCAGGGAAGAGCTTTTTCCTTTTTTAAATTGAAAAATAAAAAAGTGGAAGAAAAATTAAAATATTAATTTTTGTTTAATACTCTATTATATAGTAGTCATGCTTTTTTTAATATTGGATATTTTTTATTTTTATAAAAATTAATATATTTTTTGAAAATGATAGATTTTATAAAAATTAATATAATAAGAATTATATAAATTCTCTATTAAATGGTATTTTTATCAAAAAAATTTGTTTTATATTATCTAGTATTATACATTGCATTACCAAATATTGAATAATAGTATTTTATACAATACGTTATCTTATATAATATCATGCCAATAAGATCTTAAATTATTAGGTCTTACACTATTAAATCTTATCATATCCAATACACCAAACACACCCTTAAACTTGAACCCATAGAAAAATTTCGTCAATAATGTTGACTTTTCTAATAGTAAAAGATCTCCAAAATAAAAGCTATTAGGTTTGATTTAGTGGTGAGGGACCGAGGAATTTGAATAATATTTATTAGGTTATGTGTCCAATTCTCCTTTATATTCAAAAAGAAGATCTCCAAAAGAAATTTTTTTAAAACCTAGGATTTCTTTTTTTTCGGTTATTACTTCAACATAAGTTCTTTGTTTTCAGAGACAGATATTTATGATTAATAATTTCTAAGGCTTTTACCTATTCATCAGGTTCTCGGTTGTAGTTTGTTACCATAGATTTTTTTTTATGCAACATCAACGACAAATATACAAGGTGAGGTTCATGGATACTCCTTAATTTACAAGAAGCATGTGAGACGATGCCCTCAATTAGGAGGGTCTCCCACAAATTTAAAGGACAATTCAATTAGCGGTGACTCCTCCTACCTCCTACCCCACGTGGCCACGTCCTCACTATACCCTACCCAAATTAGTTTGGTATCGAACCCTACGGCTTACATTCTAGTACGTGTAGGGCATGGACGGTATGCAGCGGTGTTTAAAAATCCGGCTCAGTCATCGATTCGGTCGAGGTCAGGAGTCAGGGAGTCACGGATTTAATCGGACGGTCACGGGGTCATTTTGGTGACCTGATTTTATACATTAAAAAAATATAAATATATATTCTATATGAAAAATTCAAAAAAATCAAATCATCATTAAAGATTTAAAATATACTTAACATAATTCAACAAATTACATTCACAAGTCAATATTCACAAGCTAATCAAAGTATCAAATTATCATAGTATAAAACACGTATTCCAAAGAAGATAATGAAAAGTTATATCATCAAACTCAGGTTCTTCTTGTCCTTTTTATGCACCTACAATAGTATGTGAAAAGATATCTCTTACCCAATAGAGAAAAGCGGAGGAGAGGCGGCGACACGATAAATTAACGGTCACGATAAATTAACAGTAGGAAGAGAAGAACCAGCAAAATGGAGGAGATCACCAGAACAAGGAGACTGGATCTGGGAGAGAAGATAGGAAGAGAAGAAAAAGAACGATTTAGATTTTAGATCTAGTTTTAAATCTAGGCAGCAATGAGTTTTTTTTTTTTACACATCAAAAACGTCGTCATTTGGTGTATAATTTAAAAAAAAAATGCAGTGACCCTTCTGACCCGAGAGTCACGGGTTCAACCGGAGAATTTCGGAGGTTAGAGAGGTCAACGTGCAAGTAGGGTCTAACTACTAACTTGAATCCTCAGAGAGAGAGGGTCAGTGACCCGAAGAGGTCGACCCTGGAGAGAGACGGGGTTTTAAAACACTGATGTGCATGGGAATTAAGGTTTCAGGACCCTTCACATGCACGGTATTAAGAAATTCAATTATCTATTATTTTTGTTTTCTTTGTTTTTCTTTCTTCTTCTTCTGTCTCTCTTTTTACTTTATATTCTTAATCCGCAACATGAGCTGAGTACTTTATATATGACTATGTGGCTGTCACATTGGATCCTCTTCTGCACATTAATTATTAACGTAGCGGCTTTCTTTTCTTTCTATACTTTCGGCCAAAATAGATCAACCTAGATATATATTTAGGCATTTGATGCTCATCGTCAATCGCATCATTAATAAAAGTCTTGAAAAGATCCAATATTCTTTTCAGTTTCCAGCATAATTCGGGAACCAAGTAGCACTTGCAGTGTTAGCTATCAGTATTGTGCAATATGGTGGCCTTAATTGGATTATTAATCTCTATAATTGAGGAGTTCGGGAATTTCTTTCATTACGGGGTCACAACCAGTGTTTTAAAATCCTGCTCCATCTCCTGGGTTGACCCGGGTCAACCGTGACCCCTCTCCTCTGAGGGTTGGGGTCACAAGTTAGACCTGCATATCGACCCCTCCGACTCCCAAAATCCGGCCAGATTTCAGTGACTCCCGGGTCAGATGGGTCAAAGGGGGTCATTGCATTTTTTTAAAAAAAAAAATTCATGAAACAACATTGTTTTATTAAAGAAATAAATAAAATTGCTTGCAAACCTAAATCTAATTGTTCTCTTCTCTCCTAGTTACCTAAATGTTTTCAATCTTCACCTCACTGCAGTGAATCTTCTAGAAAATGTAAGAATTTTACCCCTTCAAATGAAATCCTTACGGTTGTCGATGGAAAACAAAAACTCATTCTTACTTCCTTTAAATTTTCCTTTGTCAGATACCCTCTCAAAAGAGGCAGAACCGGGTCAATGTAGTGACCCCATTAGAATATGAGTTTTGTACTTTGGTATCTTGATACTTTAATTAGGTTGTATAATATTGACTTGTGATTGTAATTGATGAATTATGTTAAGTATATTTTGAATTTTTGATGATTGGTGATTTGTTTTTTAATATTTTCATATAGGATATATCTATTTATATTTTTTTAATATATAAAACCAGGTCAGCGTAGTGACCCCCTGACTCCCTGGTTGAACCCGTGACCCCTGATCTCAGTCGGGTCGATGGCCGAGCCGAGTTTTTAAACACTGCTCACAACAACTCACAACTCAACTGATGATAACAAACCTGAAAGTTAAGCACCGAACAAATTAAAGCTCTTAAGAATATGCTACCACATCGGCTTAAACCCTTCAAAATGGTAACTCTGACTGAAATATAA